GACCGAACACAAGAGGTCTTAACAAGGTCCTTTATCTAGTCTATCGGCTGCCCGAGGAACAATGTCATACCCACCCACTCATCATTTCTAATCACTTGCACACATTCGTTAGCCCACCGTTTACTTCTTCCAGCACTTGAATTATAAATTATGGCAACATTTCAGAAAATGTTGACGTCCAAAATTGCTCATAAACGATGATCATGACAAAATGGCGTGGTTGGAGCAAATAATAGCTCAAAGAAGCACCCAACATTGTTTGGTATCTACCCGATACTTCACAACACCTCACCCATATCCGCATCGATGCACGTAACGATAGCCGTAATTTTCCCAAAAGCTGTACATGACAGATCACCAACCAGCCATGTCCATGCCACAGGACACCAATGGGTTGGCCTCACCCGTGAAAGGCTCTGTCGAACACCGTGGTCTCGTGGGAGTTAGCCACTCCTCCACCGCTGTGCTCTGTCGAACACCGTGGTCTCGTGGGAGTTAGCCACTCCTCCATCGCTGTGCTCTGTCGAACGCCGTGGTCTCGTGGGAGTTAGCCACTCCTCCACCGCTGGGAGCCACCGGACCGATCGGTCACCGAAAGCCGAAACAATAACAACAGCCTGACCCATTCCATCGTACAAATCACCAGGAAATTCCAGTTCCCCACCCGGGATTGCCCAAAGACCGAGCCGGACGTTATTTTCGTTTCCGGCCGGCCAGGCGTGTCACGCTGGCTTGTGACGCGTAATTGACGTTGAGACCGAGCCGCTTCGCCCGGGATGGCGGCGGGCCATCACACTCACCGGCATCATCCATCACTGGTGCCGACGGTTGTCTGCCGCCTCCGGGTCCGGCTTGTTCTGGCCGGGGTCGGACGGTGACGGAGCAGACACGGCGTGGTCCGACGAGGTAGTTGAGATCAAGACATCAGCGACGTCTGGCTGAAGTCAAACGTAAAGCCGAGCGTGATTTTTGTGGTGGTGCGAAAAGCCAGACCGCCTTTTATGCACCGCCTTTTATGCCGATGCGAAAATCCAGAAGCACATAAATGAAGTGTTTTTATTAATAGCATGCGGAGCTAAGCATTATGCTTTTATGGCGGTGCGAAATGCCAGAAAAAACATCGATGAGGTGTTTCTATCCGTCTGCGTTCTAATATGATTGTCCTTGAAAGGAGGAGGTCTTTTCAGCTTTTGTTTGTGGTATTCAAAGCGGAATTTAATTTAAATGTACTCACATACGCTGTCTGTCCAACTAGTGAGCAGCCTCCTCTTCCCCTGCTGCCTGCGTCCTGGATGATCGTTCCCACACCCTCGTCCACGGATCGCTCCCACGCCCTCGTCTTCCATCCCAAGGTGGAAGAACGTCATGGGCACAGTTCACTGAACACGGATTCGTTGCTCCTCTTCATTTCGCAGCTGTCGAATTTGGAGGGCGTTTTCCTGCCGGTTTTTCCACACTATCCTTCGACGCACCATGCGACGTCACAAACTGCGTGCGGATCCCGCCGGAGCCGGATGCGAGGGAATTAGTCTCCGAGCAGCTTGTGGGATTATAAGCGTCCTGGGTGGCGATCGCTCCTCAGAACGGTTGTGGACTCCGGGGAAGCTGGGTGACCGCGCACGGTGGGACGGGCTTGTGTGCAAATCGGCTAAATCTCCAGTGTCGACAGTCATCATGGAACTTGTAAGTTTTCGACAATTCCAGAGCCCGTTTCAACTAGCAAGCATCATTCCCCGTAAAAGATCACGTGCAGCCACCTTGTGCAGCTTGAACTCCGTATTTGTGTGGCATGTCCTTGTCGACCGTGAACTTACTGCCGCTTATGACCTCACTAAGCTGCCAGAGCACCACTATGCAGCTGTTACCACCTGGGGATATGCACGCCATAGAGACATACTAACTAGGCCGACAGTTAACAATTGACCCAGAAAAAGGCGGCACGATGTCCTCGGGCAGGCGTGGTAACCACGCCGGACACCTGCCACCGTGACAAACACTGGGCTACGCCGGCCGTCCTCCGGACACTGTCTGATGTCAGCAGGGCACACCGATCCCCCTCCCCCATCCCGATCCAGGCAGGGGACACTGATCCCCTTCCCCCATCCCGATCCAGGCAGGGGACACCGATCCCCTCCCTCATCCCGATCCAGGTAGGGGACACCGACCCCTTCCCCCATCCCGATCCAGGCAGGGATACTGATCCCCTTCCCCCATCCCGATCCAGGCAGGGGACACCGATCCCCCTCCCTCATCCCGATCCAGGCAGGATACTGATCCCTTCCCCATCCCGATCCAGGCAGGGGATACTGATCCCCTTCTCCCATCCCGATCCAGGCAGGGGACACCGACCCCTTCCCCCATCCCGATCCAGGCAGGAGATACTGATCCCCTTCCCCCATCCCGATCCAGGCAGGGGACACCGATCCCCCTCCCCATCCTGATCCAGGCAGGATATACTGATCCCTTCCCCCATCCCGATCCAGGCAGGGGATACTGATCCCCTTCTCCCCCCATCCCGATCCAGGCAGGACACCGACCCCTTCCCCCATCCCGATCCAGGCAGGGGATACTGATCCCCTTCCCCCATCCCGATCCAGGCAGGGGATACTGATCCCCTTCCCCCATCCCGATCCAGGCAGGGGACACCGATCCCCCTCCCTCATCCCGATCCAGGCAGGATATACTGATGCCCTTCCCCCATCCCGATCCAGGCAGGGGATACTGATCCCCTTCTCCCATCCCGATCCAGGCAGGGGACACCGACCCCTTCCCCCATCCCGATCCAGGCAGGAGATACCGATCCCCTTCCCCCATCCCGATCCAGGCAGGAGATACCGATCCCCTTCCCTCATCCCGATTCAGGCAGGGGATGCCGGTCCCCTTCCCCCATCCCGATCCAGGCAGGGGACACTGATCCCCTTCCCTCATCCCGATTCAGGCAGGGGATACCGGTCCCCTTCCCCCATCCCGATCCAGGCAGAGGGTACCGATCCATTTCCCCACCCCCCATCGATTATGGTTTTTGATGTGAGCCTGCCGTCACGGTACCACGCCTCCAACTTTGCATGTAAGCAGCGTGTTTTCTATCACTGTTTTCCTGTCTCAGCAAGGGCACGAACACACCTTGTTCTTTCTTCCTCATTTGGCTGCCTGTAGCCCGCCCCTGCCTTTGGCTGAGGGAAACAATGGTTTAAAATCATCGAGGTTTATTGCTTTCGGCCAGTTCAGCGCAGCACACGTGAGACAAATGTCAAAGCTCAGGAGAAATGTGGGCGAGCCCCTTCAAATGAGTGGGAAATTCTACGGGAAGTCACCCTGCCGCCTGGTGTCGCTCTGCGCTATGGAACGGGGCGCGGACCGCTGGGGGGAAGGGCGTGACGACCCTGGGCCCGCCTGTCGCTGACGGGGCGGCACCGCCGGCTGGACAGGGTTTTCACGGCACGCGGACCCGGCTTTACCTGGAGTCTCGAATAGGTTCGACATCAGGCACTGCTGCTGGGTTGACTGAACGGTTGGGGTCCGCCTGCTGATCGGTACCTGTGTACCACCTCGTCATAGCCGCGGGGAGATGCGAGGGTGCAGGCTTACCTTCAGTAAATTGGCGATGCTTGGTCAAGAATATTACTGAGTTTTAGAATCTCTGATTTGATGATCGTTGATTATAAACCTGCCTTCCTTCATCGTGTTACAGTCAGACTGACATGCGGCAGGGGAATATCAATAACGTTATAGCAGTAATAGCAACAGTATAAAAACAGTTGTAGCAACAGCAGCAGTAACCAACGTAACTAATCTCGCAGCACGCTCACCCTCTGGCCTGTGTCCGCCCGTCTCCATCACACCTGCAACGCCTCGGGCTAAACTGGAGCAGCTGAGCGCCACGCAGTCAGTCAAGCGAAGCGGGCTCGTTTCCGGGTGTTCGTTTTCCCGGCCGCTCTGGCGCCAGGTGGCCGTTCCCAAATGTCTCTCGCCGGGGTGTGCTTTCGAGGGCGGAACAAGATCGCGTCCGGATGTGAATGCGCTGCAGTGTTGGCCATCCGGCACATGGAGTCACATCAGCGCGGCCCGGCCCTTTTCTCAGTATTGACTTCCCCCAACGCTGTAATTGCAGGATGCTGCACTGGGCTTGCAGTTGGCTGCTCCTCACTCCGTAGTGTTTACATATGATTTGATTCTAACTTTCAGAACTAGTGAAGCCCTTATTCCCTTGCTGTTAACACATACTTTTACTTATGCGCGCTGCTGAAGCCGATCCAACTTCACTTCATGTCTTGCTTACTTATCCGTGTCAGACGATGTTTCTAAACCATGCGCTTTGAGTAATATCTAAAATGCCTGCCTTTCCTAATCGGCTATCAAAAGCTTCAACACGTCAGAAGCTCAAAACATTACGTCAAATACCTGAGCTGAACAGCTATCCAGTTGTAAGCCTGCACGTCACGTGGCAAAAATAGTCACGCGATATAACTAGCCAACCAGCTAATCCCAGAACACATATTGGGATTCATCGCGCACTTCATCCGGCACACTTAAACCTTGGTAAGGCCAGTTGTTGTGTGTCACCACTGATTTTGGCACAGCATACTGATTCATAGTCCTGCTGCCATGCCATTTTCTGGAATTACCCATGTCTGTCATGCGATGCTTGGAAATAGGCATTGCCCGTCTGAAACAATGGATTTGATTTGTCGTCTGACGTCTCAGCCGACGGCCACAGTCGCGGTGGCCAATCTCCGATCCGATGGGCAAGTCCTGCGCTAGGCACGCTTACCCTCTGGGGGATCAGCACCGGCGGGTAGGATGATGCCGACAAAAATAGACATCTGCTGGAACCTTACAGCGCTCTGTTGAAGCACGTGGTGAACGCTCTCTCTGACCCGGAAGTGGAAGTGGCACCTCGTCTCTCATCGGTGGGCCGTGCTGTGGTCCACGTCTCTCACTATCGCTGCCCTGTGTTTCGTGGACGGATTCCTGATGCTGTGCGTTTCCTGCCATTTCAGGGTGTAAGCAGACGACTTCTGTTTTTACTGCTGGTGACCGTAGCGGCGGCTTCAGTCGCTTCCGCCGCTGAAGGTGAGCTTCACAAAGCAGAAAAGCACACAATGCGGGCCTGGTTCTTATGTGGTCCCATCGAGCCAACGCTGTGAAATATTACTCTAGCATCAACCTGAAGCAAGCCGCGTCTCCAAGACATTAGACAAGACAATAACATCATATTTATAACTTAGTTCTAAATGCTCTGTCAGACCGTGTCATACATATAGGTGTCCAGGGCATGCTTACATTGGATGATTGGATGAGAACGAGCTGAACGGATTCGGCGGTACCTGATGCCTGGGGTTAAAAGCTTCCGCAGTCAGCGGAACGACGATAATGGCAGTGATTCCAGTGTCATGACACTGAGATAATCCGCCTGTAACGGTGCAGCGCCCGTCTCTCCTGTCCGTTAAATCTCCACGAGCTTCCGTTTTTTTGTGGTCGACTCGCTGCCCGATTATAGATGGACGCGAATCATGCTTCGTTTGGGACAATTGTCCGGCCCGCTAGGTGTCCATGGTGCCTGTATTACGGCGACACTGCTGTCTCCCAACGCTAGACTCCTGTTTTGTAGCAACAACAGTCTTTTAATATCCTCTTGCTCTCTGTGAATTTATCGGAGCATTTTTGTAAATGACCAAGTTTCATTACTTCGCTAGTAAAATTTTGTAATGTTATAGCTTAATAGCATTATAGCTAATGAGATAAACGTAAGATTATTGTTCCAACGAAATGATAGGATTGCAGTATGACCAATGTATACTTTGGGGTCAGCCAGTCCTCTTTATGCTTTCCTTGCCCTTTCTTCATGACAGCTGGCGCTCTCCCCGCGCTCCATACCTACCCTCGCACGTGAGACGGACCACCCCTCTTCCTGCTCGGGCCTACCTCTCGCACGTGAGACGGACCACCCCTCTTCCCGCTCGGGTCGTTCCCGTCTTCCGTGTCTAAGCTCGGCTCTCTCTCTCTGCCCGTCGGACAGTGAAGCGGATCCACCTGCGCCGCTCCTCCCGGCGCCGCCAGCCAGACGTCGCGGCCTCGGTGGCCCCGCAGGAGACGCTGGCCGCGGCCGAGTCGCAGCGCCGGGTCAACGTCGCCAAGGAGGAGGAGGTCAGTGGACAGCGGTCGCGGGCCGGTGCTACTGGCAGGACAAAATGTTGGCGTTCTCAGTCTGTGGTGGCTATGTTAGGGAGAACTTGACCTCGGTGGCTCAACCAGGCGTAGCTTTACTTGAGGTTCTCGTCTGGATAAGGTTCTCACACGAGGGTTCTGATGTGCAAAAGACCTTCACTAAGTGGCATCATGCAACATAGCCACGTTGGCGGGATTATTATGAGCAGTTGCTGCCAATGCTCAAAAGCGTGGGTTGAAAATGGCAGGCTGTCCACCAATACACATCTCATGTGTGAATGAGTTGAAACGTTAGAGGTAGGGAAAAGAAAGCCAAAGCCTGTAGTGGCGACTCTGCAGACGGCGCGAACTCATGCAGACCACCCCACTTCCCTGCCAACAACCTCAAACCGCTCCGTTTTCTAGAATGCCGTGGGAACCAGGACCGTACAGGCGGCCAGCAGTTCGACGAGCAGCGGCAGAGGTAGGGGCAGAGGCCGGGGCCGGGGCCGGGGCAGAGGCCGGGGCCGAGGCAGCTCGAGGACCTCGTCGGCGCAGATCGCCGTCAGCAAGAAGAGGCCCGCAGCGGCGCCGAGCAGCACCGCGCCATCCCGGGCCCCGGTCGCTGCCGTAGCCTCTCGGCCCGTGGCGTCCAGCGACCGCAAGATCGTCTGCTACTTCACCAACTGGTCCCAGTACCGGTGAGCGACGCTCCGCGAACGTTCGCGTGGACTGTGCTCAGGGTCTGCAGGGCGGAAACGTCAGGCGTCGGGGCGTGATGGTACGATCAAGGTCATCTCGCTCCGGTGATGTCCGTTGCATGCACAAGTACGTGCCGGGTACGACTTTCCCAGGAGCGGTATGGCTGGGATCTTTTGTTCGCTAGGCCTAAAATATACTGGTGTATGTTTGTGCAGACTCGCATCATCCGTGTTACGGTTTTATAGTTGCTTTTGCTGTCGAGGAAAGAGCATGTGTTTTCCTCCAGCTTGCCAGCATGCGTTGCATTCTATGCTTTTGTAAGCCACCGCTTTGGCATGGAGCCCGTAATCTGTTGAAGAAGCCCGGGGTTAGAGTCTACTAAATCAATCCAACATCTGGAAAATGCTTAGCCTGAAGCACATCGGTTAATTAGGCTTTTTGGTGCACTTGGACTGGTTGGTTACAGCCTCAGTTACGAGTGTCTTTTATATGGTACTAATTAGTAACCATATATATACACACATGTATATAAATATATATATATATATATATATATATATATATATATATATATATATATATATATATATATATGGTATCTTGCCGCAATCCCTGTGCTCACCACTAGTCAGAGGAGTATGTGCCTTCTGTGCAGTGGAGATGGCCAAGCCCAGGTCACAGTGTCGCCAACCCGGTCTCCTGGCGCTGGGGTACATCCTCTTAGCCGGGTTCACCCGGGGCCAAGCTGGAGGAGCCTGACGCCGACCCTGGTGGGCCTGATGTGACTCACTCTGCACGACCAACGGATTCCGGCCAGCGCCCCCCCCCCCCCCCCAGGCAACCAGCGCCAATCGCGCCCAGATCGTATATTCACCTCCGCGGGAACGATTTTTATGGGGGATAATCCAGGCGCCTAAGACCGGCGCTCTCTTGTCGGCCGGGTACGGTTTACCGCAGGCTATGCGAAGCGGATGTGGTGTGGGTGCGGCCAGGGTCACCGTGCGTCACCGTGCGACAGGATAATGGTGGTCTGATTGGTGGAGCGGCTTTGCGCGACACACGCTAACCAGCTGCAATTTAGTGCGATACAGCTGGATGTCAGCGCTGGGCTGTCCGTTCATTCATAGGATTGCTTACGTTGTTCATTGATTAATGCATTTAGCCAAAATTTCGTTTTTAAAACAGCTGTCATTTGCTGGGCCGTTCGGTTAGCCTCCATGCTACCCGATGCCCTTGTACTGAGTGCTTCCGGAACGCCGCCCTCGCACATCGGTTCTCACGCTGGCTGAAGTCAGCGTGTTTCTTGAGAGCGTGATTCCCACACGCAGTTGGCTCGTTTTTTCGGTCATGGCCCTATGCACCGGTGTGGTAACGCCTGCAAAGGCCACCTTCTGGAATACAACAGGCTGTACCCTCCCGTTTTGAGGGAACAGGTGTAACTTCCCGGGATGTTCTGATGGCTTCCACGTAGGATTCAGTTCATCGCACTCAACCTAACGCCCCCACAAGTTGTTTAGAAACCGCCTTCCCGAGCCTGTAATCTTGGTTGCTCTTGCCTTCTGTGCTAGCCGAGGTTATGGCCTCAGCGACGGTGTAAGCCTCCCGTCAGCCATGCTCTCCACACTGTCAGCCTCCCACCAGCCATGCTCTTCACGCTGTACGTCTTCCGCCATCCATGCCCTCCAGGCTCCTGCCCCTGACACCGCCCATGGGGCAGTTACACGGTCCGGCAGCTGCCCAACAGCCGCACAGTGCCCGCGGCGACGCCCCGGACTGTAGTCCAATTGGCACGGGGTCAGCCATCCAGAAGGCCACCGAAAGGGAAGAGGGAGGGCGGGCGCGAGGGCCGAGCCCTGGATCCCGCTGGAAATGACCTGGCCTGGGGCGGGCGCTGCAGTTATGTGTTGCAACACGCGGCTGTTGGGTGACGCCGCGGCTGCAGATATCACCATCGTGAAGTGGCGCGAGAAACGATTGGTCCGGATTTGAAGCCATTGCTTACCGAATTCGCAATCCTGTCAGCATAATGGAAAGAGGTGAAAGTTTACCCCATTTTTAACAGGTCGCAAGTGTAATACTTATGTGCAGATTCGGAGCGGTGTGGGGGAGGCTGCATTAAAACGCTCATCAAGTCACTTGATGCGGCGTGGTGTATGCACTGCAATGGGAAAGAACAACAGGCTAGGCCGACAGCGCGCGAATTATGCGTCTACTTTCACAACGATATTACACCTAATTGATTTAGACCACCTGGTCAGTCACAAGAGTGACTTTGGGACACCCGTATGCAAAGACCTGAGAAGCTTGCAGTGTTGTCGTGCCGTTCACATGGCGTCGTCGCCTGCCATTCACCGACGTTATAGCATGCCATTCGCTTCAAATGGATTTGAAGCGTGACTGACCTAGGTTTCGCCACCGTGACCACGATCGTGCATGTCGTGGTTTCACTACCGAATATCAGATGTTCGTGAGAATGTGGCCTAATGACTTGCCAGCAGCGGGTGTGGCCATTAGGGTCGAGAATGTGGATTGCCAGGATTGCAATATGTTGTAATCCCGCGAATCCCTTTATCTTTGAAATTAGGATCCACACCGAGAGAATCAGGATCTGAATCATGAGCCGCACATAATCGCACAATTCCCATAATGCTTGGAATGTTCTCGAAGATTTTACTCACAGTTTCAAAAGGATTTCAATGTTGGCGCTCAGTACACTCTCTAGATACATTTTCAAACCACGGCCATTGACAAGTTGCTGAAAGAGAAATACCGACAGCATATTAAAGTGCTTCACAACCTGCATCTGCAGTCATCACGCTGAAACAGCTCAAAACTTTGGACACACCATACATCACTACTAGCATTCCTCACAGTACTGCTGACGCCTTTACTTACGCACGCAAAACGGCCAAAAGCCGTACTCGTCAGTCTGTCTTATGAGCTGCACCACCGTTATAAGACCGTAGAGAAGGCGCAGAGCTCTCACATGCCTCCGCCGACCCCCAGGTCATCTATTGGGAAGTACCTGCCTGAGAGCCTCGACCCCTTCCTCTGCACGCACGTCGTCTTCGCCTTCTCGTCCATGAAAAACAATCGGTTGGCTCCGTTCGAGCACAACGATCTCTCGAAGGACGGCAAGGTGGGCCTCTACGAGCAGGTCACCAACCTCAAGAAGATCAACCCCAAGCTGAAGGTGCTGCTGGCTATCGGTGAGTGGATGTGGGGATGGGGGCCGTCGGTGGATACCTGGGGGGAGGGGGCGAACGCACTCAGCCGGGACGTGCTGGCCAGAGTTGCGCAGCTATCCTTCAGCAACCACAGTTACGCTGCTTCCTGCCGCCAGAAAAGAGCATCTAAGTCAATGTCTGAGCCCTTTTTAGCTAGCGTGTTCAGTAACGTTGTGGAAAAGGCTTCATCACACAGAGCTTTAACATACCCGCCACATACTCAAGAAGCCTACCACGTACACCGGTTTCAAGTGTCGTCTGTTTTCCGCAGGTGGCTGGTCCTTCGGAACGAAAAAGTTCAAGGACATGAGCAGCAACAGATACAACCGTAGGACTTTCGTCTACAGCGTGGCTCCGTACTTGCGCGAGTACAACTTTGACGGTCTCGACCTGGATTGGGAATACCCCAAGGGCGCCACCGACAAGACTAACTTCGCCAACTTGTGCAGCGGTAAGTAAAGTGTTCCGAAGTTTTGCTCGTGGTGTCTTTCGCACTTAGTTATGACCACGTTCTAGAGTTTTGTTAGCCACTCGCTGGCCCACCGGTGTACGCATCGCGTAGTTTGTTCCCAGGAATGCGCAGTTCTTTTAAGTTAGAAGGCATTATTGTTCGATCGAAGTCTAACTGATAGCGAAATGAAGGCGTTTGAGTGCTCAGCTGCGTTGAAACCGAGGCCAGCAGAATGGTGACGCAATCGCGCGTATCCACTGCGTTAAGAGATTTGCCCTCATCGCATCAGCCATGCAGCTTTGCTAAGCCATTATGGGGACAGCGCACACATCCCCAGCCCCGGGCCACTTGCGCTTTGTAATCTGTATTAATCATTATATAAGGCAGTTTATCAAATGCATCCGAGGGGACTCTAACAAATCTCAGACACAGCCTGGAGCGTCCACCAGCCGGTGTCCCGTGCATTCGGAGCTATTCGTGTGCTTATAATATACCCCCTAATCATGTCTTACTTGAGTCGATTTCCAAATGATCTGTCAACTTGTTGGGCAAGTGCAACTGTTGACGCCGCATGGACTCACCGAGCGAATGGGTACCGTAATTTCTGTGAAGTATGCTTGACAGTGCCATATTTATTTCGTGTTACACAATTTTGGTTCTCAATGACACCGAAGTCGCATCCCGGGGGCAAGATGAAAGAGGCTGTCTGAGGGATCGTTAGCCACGTATCGCCGTTGCGGTGATGGAAATAGAGAAGTACCGTGAACAACTACGTGATCGTAGTCGTACGTGCGCGCATACGAAAAAATGTGCCGAGCCTGAACGTGAGCATGCCGTGCGGTCTGTCAGATCCAAGGCATGCAATTCAGAACGCAGCACGAGAAGACGGCTCTATGTGACGCATCAATAGTGCATTGTTTGAAATACGGGAAACACAACGCACTAGGATTTCGATTGCGGCTAGAGAGCTACATCTGCCTTTGTCAGGCTTGTCTGCTCGGAGCTAGTTTCGGAACCTAGCCTTTGTGATTCTCTCAAACTGAAGGTTATCCCAATGACACCTGCTGGATATAAATGTTAGCTCCCGAAAATATATCATCAAATGACCCTTTAACTGACTTGATTGTCTAGATGTCCTTGGATCATATGGTTGCCGAATATCGGCGCGGACTGGAAAGACGGAATGTTTCTTTTCGTAACAACCGTTTCGCAGGCATAACCGCATGGATTTTCTGTTTCCCACCGCAATATTTCGCCTTCGTCACTTAATACCCACGCCCCCCATCGTTGACGCCCGATCCCACCGCGCCACTTCAGCTTCGTCCCATACTCCCTGCTCTGGTCACACCTTAATCCCCGCGCTCCCCATCGTTGACGCCCGATCCCACCGCGCCACTTCAGCTTCGTCCCATACTCCCTGCTCTGGTCACACCTTAATACCCGCGCTCCCCATCGTTGACGCCCGATCCCACCGCGCCACTTCAGCTTCGTCCCATACTCCCTGCTCTGGTCACAGCTATGCACCTTCGCCCCTTATTTCTCACCTCACTATTCCACCTTCGTCTCCTGTTGCGGACAGAGCTCCACGAGGCGTTCGACCAGGAGGCGCGCGAGACCCGTCAGGACCGCCTGCTGCTCACGGCCGCGGTCCCGGTCGGCCCTGACACCATCCGCGGCGGATACGACGTGCCCAAGCTGGCCAAGTCAGTGTCTCCACCGCACGCGGATCCGGATATGACTCGGCATACATTGCACGAACAGCGTTCATTGCTTCTTGAGCCTCAAAACAACAGATCGCGCACACGATGTCTTTTAACCACAGAATACAGAATCGCATTAGCCCTAATGAGCTTGTTATGCATTAGTTTACAAACAAGCGTATCCTCGCGGAGTTTTAGCATATACACAAGGCTTAAGTCAGCATCCGAGGAGCACAAACCTTGGTTGAAATCTATATGCTTGCGGTGAAGAAAGCCATTTTTGAGTTCTGAGCCGGTAAATTGTACCCAAGTGTCGTATTAGAACTAAACAAATGATTGTTTCACGCATAAACCAGAAGTGCGGCTCTGAGCAAGTCAACTCCAACAACACGAGACAAATGCCTTCGCTTGCCACCATTGCCCAAAAATGCCTTCGCTTGCCACCATGCCCACAAACCACCCGATCCTAAGATGCAGCCTGCTGGGCCGGCAACAACTGCCCCCGTCCCGGCGGCAGGTCCTTGGACATCTTCAACATCATGGCCTACGACTTCCACGGCAAGTGGGAGTCGCAGACGGGACACAACGCCCCGCTCAACGCCCACTCCACGGACTCCACGTGGCGCAAGCAGCTCTCCGTCAACGCCTCTGTCCACATGTGGATGCGCCTGGGCGCGCCTGCGCACAAGATCGTTGTCGGGTAAGTGATGACGTCAGCGGGAGCCGGTGGAGCGTCCGGATCGCGTGTTGGCTGCCCGAATGGATTTATGTGCGTATGAGCTTGGAAAGAATTCGGCTGAGTGGAGGGGCCGAGCCACTAGTATGCTTTTGTGAAAGTCACGCATGTAAGGCTCCAACTTTTTGCCTTTTCAGCCCAAAAATGAAATAACGATGACGTCGAAAAACAGCTAATTTATTTTCTCAGCTTACAAAAAACATGTAAAACCCGATGGAATTTGCAATTTTTGGACCTATTTAGCTTGATGACTGGCAGTTCTCCCCGACTTCCCCGGCATGTTTGTAAATATTTCCCCCAGTACGTCTATGCTAGCACGAACTGGAACTGAGTGCCTAGTAATAATTTGCTTTGTTATCTTGACTTGGGTTATGCCTGAGAAGGCATGCCTAATGCTTCAATGGTGCTGAAGCAGAAAAGCAGATGTTTAGTGTGAAACCAGCTTTATGAGATCATTTTTTCAGAAGATCTTGAGCAAAGCATGTACTGTCTATCAATTTCCCACCGCAGTAATGAGCTGTGAAAGCTCGCCTTTGGAGGCGCACAGAGTCGCATCTTAGTGAATCATTAACTAATGCGCCTCGCACACCGACGTCGCGATGCTGTTTGTCATCAGCTCACACTGGGCCTCACCGAGCGTCTGATCGCGCGGACATCTGTTGTTGCAGCATGCCGACGTACGGCCGCAGCTTCACACTGGCCGACCCGGCCAACCCCGCCGTAATCGCCCAGACATCTGTTGTTGCAGCACGCCGACGTACGGCCGCAGCTTCACACTGGCCAACCTGCCAACCCCGCCGTAATCGCCCGGACATCTGTTGTTGCAGCGTGCTGACGTACGGCCGCAGCTTCACACTGGCCAACCTGCCAACCCCGCCGTAATTGCCCGGACATCTGTTGTTGCAGCGTGCCGACGTACGGCCGCAGCTTCACACTGGCCAACCTGCCAACCCCGCCGTAATCGCCCGGGCATCTGTTGTTGCAGCATGCCGAAGTACGGCCGTAGCTTCACTCTGGCCAACCCGGCCAACCCCGCCGTAATCGCCCGGGCATCTGTTGTTGCAGCGTGCCGACGTACGGCCGTAGCTTCACTCTGGCCAACCCGGCCAACCCCGCCGTGATCGCCCGGACATCTGTTGTTGCAGCATGCCGACGTAAGGCCGTAGCTTCACTCTGGCCAACCCGGCCAACCCCGCCGTAATCGCCCGGGCATCTGTTGTTGCAGCGTGCCGACGTAAGGCCGCAGCTTCACTCTGGCCAACCCGGCCAACCCCGCCGTAATCGCCCGGACATCTGTTGTTGCAGCGTGCCGACGTACGGCCGTAGCTTCATACTGGCCAACCTGCCAACCCCGCCGTAATCGCCCGGACATCTGTTGTTGCAGCATGCCGACGTACGGCCGTAGCTTCACTCTGGCCAACCCGGCCAACCCCGCCGTAAACGCCCCGGCCAGCGGAGGCGGCAACGCCGGCACCTACACCAAGGAGGCCGGCTCCCTGGCCTACTACGAGGTGAGCAGACGAATGCGGCGGAAAGGGGGCGGACTGAAGAGTGCGTCACTGCCTACCGGCAGCATGCGGGGGGGGGGGGGGCAGAGGGACGATGAAGCCGTGAAAACCTTCACACATTTTCTTGCTAGAACTGTTTCAGGCATGAAAACGCATGATTACCACGATTTGTTTTGATTCGATAACCAGATGGCCACACTAATAATTCATTTCATTGCACCCTTACCCCGAAACACTCATCATTGTAAGGATCCCTGCCGACTGGAGATGACTGGGCCGTATGCCACGAATGCGTCACTTTAGTCTGGAAACCACGAAGGAAAAATCCATGCTCTAAAACATGCGCAATCTGTTCGCCTGAAGGCCCTGGGTACTGATTTACTGGACATATGTCACCCAAACACATGTCAAATCATGTGTATGTGCTCAAATCAAAATTATCGTCGACGCATCCCGCAATCGTACAAGCAGTTAGCTTGGCTCTAATACTAACGCCCATAGGCATTGGCTCAGAAAAATGAAAAGGCAAGGGCGTATAATTTTTACTGACTCACGTTCAAGTATCCAGTGTGGGCATGCAGTGGATAGCCCCACGTCTCGCGGCTGTCGGCCACCCGCTCTCCGCTTCACGGCTGTCGGCCACCCGCTCTCCACCTCACGACTCTCGACCACCCACTTCCCACCTCACGGCTGTCGGCCACCCGCTCTCCACCTCACGACTCTCGACCACCCGCTCTCCACCGCACGGCTGTCGGCCACCCACTCTCCACCTCACGACTCTCGACCACCCGCTCTCCACCTCACGGCTGTCGGTCGCCCGTTTTCCGCCGCAGCACTGAACAACCTCTCTCTCGCCTGGCAGCTGTGCGAGATGCTCTACAACGGCGCCCAGTACACCTGGGACACGGACATGTCCGTGCCGTACCTGGTCGACGGCAACCAGTGGGTCGGCTTCGACGACGAGCGCTCCATTCGCATCAAGATGGACTTCATCAAGGATATGGGCCTGGCAGGAGCCATGGTCTGGTCTTTGGACATGGACGACTTCAACGCGGCGGCCTGTAAGGGCGCCAAGTACCCGCTGATTTCGGCCATGAGGTGAGGGGAGAACAAGAGGGATGGAGCTAAGGAGGCAGATGAGGGAGGTACGGCATAAGGTGAGAAAAAACGGAGGAGGAGGAGGAGAGGCAAGTGAGAGAGACACGGCATGAAGTAAACGAAGAACAAAAGGAGGAGGAGGAGGAGGAGGAGGAGGAGGGGCAGGTAAGGGAGGTACGACATGAGGTGAGAAGAGAGCGAGAGGGGAGAAGAAGAAGGCAGGTGGGGAATGTACGGCATAAGGCGAGGAAAAACAGAGGAGGAGAAGGAGGAGAGGCAAGTGAGAAAGATACGGTATGAGGTGAGCGAAGAACGAAAGGAGGAAGAGGAGTCAAGAGAGAGAGAGAGAGAGAGAGAGAGAGAGAGAAGGAAGAGAGAGAGAGAGAGAGAGAGGAGAGAGAGAGAGAAGAGGAGAGAGAGAGAGAGAGAGAGAAGAGAGAGAGGAGAGAGAGAGAGAGATAGAGAGAAGAGAGAGAGAGAGAGAGAGAGAGAGAGAGAGAGAGAGAGAGAGAGAGAGAGAGAGAGAGAGAGAGAGAGAGAGAGAAGAGGCAAATATAATAGAGCGAATAGAAGGCAAAGCTGTTTTTTTGGCCTCTTCAGGTTTGGTGGGCCATAATTATCTGACCCATCAAAGCTGGGGTATCCGAAAAACAGTATGGTGAGAGGACAGGACGACGCAGATGCGTTTGGCGTTGTAAAGAAGACGACAGTATTTGTAAGGTGCCGTCGGCGCGCGCCGTGTGATCGGCCATCGTGGTTATGACGGGTAAATGTTTTGATACAAATATTAGACCGAGCGATTACATGAAAATATCAATACCAATATATATATATATATATATATATATATATATATATATATATGCGGTCAAATGAGCGATTGCAAGCTAAATGTTACCCGGACAAACGCACATAGCGTGCGTGTTCATTTTTTTGTAGTAGCTTTGTCAAAGCCGCACTTGATTTTAAAATTATAGCGTTTATCTTAAAATGTCTTTACGTTGTTGGCGCAATAATCAAACGCTAAAGACAAAATGCTGAAAAATAGCACAATCCAGCAGCCTTGTCCACAAAATGTGTGAACATTGCAGAGAGGAGCTGCTGGGTATATCACGGTCGGACAAGAAGAAGGACATCGACTGGACTAAGATCTCGCCGTCGAGGGCCCGGCCTGCGATATCTACGGCGCCGATCATCTCCAAACTCAGCACCGCTGACATCATTGCCCTGCTGAAGGCGCAGGGTGAGCAGAAGCCTAGTGTGACATGTGCGGTGTCTGGAGAAACCATGTAACAGTAGCGTGTGGTGACGAAATGATGTTGGAAGGAAGTCCCATGGGGATGACAGATGTTTGATGGGGACATTTGAATAAGGCTGGGGAGGGGGGGGGGGGGTACATGGTGACCTAGTCACCAGCAAGCTCTCTACGTCCAAATGTAAATTAAACGGAGAATCTTCTGATTGATGCATCTAGATGTTTATTCTCGAATTTCGAATTAGTATCAGGCTTGGGTGAAGGCTTAAGTCAAAAGTTGTTATTAAGTCTCAGAGCACAAATACTTACACAGTGAAAAAAACGTTCATAGACTTATAGAACAAACTTACTGGCTTGAAATCTACAAGGGTCTTACTTATTACGTGATAAATCAATACTAAGGCAGGATGTCGCTCAGATCACGCAATACCGTCCGTTTAGCCGTCATGCATCTGGCTGCTCCCGCAATTTACGGGCATATCTAATAAAGCGCTGTCGCTCCAGAAAAAAGTTTTGCATTTGCCTTGCGCCCTACCAAAACTACTCAGTCTCAGCCACTGGGATTTAACCTAACTCAACTGTGCCGCATGCGTGATTGCTCCGCCCAGCACCCAATCCATTTCTATCTGTTTCTGGCCAGTGCCAGTACTGATCTGTTTCAGCTCATGGATGATCTGTCTCTGTCTGCATCTGGCCCACTCCTGTCTGTGTCTGACCTCTGTTCCGGTCCGTGTCTGACCTGCCACGTCCGTGTCCGCCTCGTAGGCATTACCCCGGACGCCAAGACGGTCCAGAAGCTGGGTCAGATCTCGCTGACCTCGGCCGGCGGCGGCACCGGCACCAGCGGCAACGCCATCATCGACCGCTTCGACGACAACCGTGAGTACAAACGCGTGGCCGGTGCGCCCCGGCTGCGTATGACGTACTAATGGGCTTTTGGCTGGCTCTGACGGCTAAAACAGCTGGATCTCTGCATGATACGCTAATCGGCTTCTGGCTAGATTTGCCGGCTTACCACGCACTGGGCTTGGGGGAATGCGATAGGGGGGGGGGGGGGGGGGGGGGGCAGGGCGCAGCCGCAAACGTCCGTCTAACTAACCATTATCCCCGCTTTACGCCGCTTGACAAAGGCTTGGCTTAACATTGCAGCTGGGGCGGTGAGCGCGTCATTCCAGCCTCAGGCAGTGGCGGGAGACGGGACGACAGAGGCTTCCGCGCCGGCCCCCGCGCGCAGGAACGCACCGGCATCTCAAGTCGCCGGAGAGCGGAAAACGCCCGTAACGCCGGGCACCACGACATCGCGAGAGCCGGCGACCTTGATGGGACACGAGGCGGCAGCGTACCCACGGCGGGCGCAAGGAACGTTGACAATCCGGACGAGGATCGCGCGACCTCGGCCGAGCATAGTGCCGACATCTGTTGACGGCCTTCTGAACCTCCGTACTTGGCCAGCGGCTATCGGGGACTCGGACACGCCGTCACAGTACAGGGACAATCCATTCCTCAAGCAGATGGCGCATGTGGCGCCAGCTGTAGGTGGCAGCCCGATGGTGACGGAGCCGAAGCAGCTGGATATGCCGGCGATGCAGGACGAGAAGCTTACGCCCACGCCGAAGCCGACGCCCTCGTATTATGGGAGTAATCCATTCTTGGAATCAGGGATCCCGCCACGCTCTGGCGCCAGACGGCCCCGAGGAAGACAAACCAGGGACGAATAACAGCAGCCCGGCGGCAAAACAAGGCAAGACGCTGCAGGAGACTGTCATGTTGCTTCTTTTTACGTTTTACGAATTGTGTTAGACTAGCTGCTCGTTTGGTTCAAGCGGAGATTATCATGCCCGCCAATGTCCGCAAAAAGACCTCGTTCGGTCCTGTAGTCTAGTCGTTATCGTAGTTACCATGTCGTATTCTGTTTTCTGTTGCGAATGCATCACAATGTGCAGGATATGGTTTTGTAGCTGCTGCTTAGTGGTCTCCGGAGAAAATAACGACATAATTGTTTGTTTGGCCTTCACCACTGCAAGCCACCGCACTTTATTTGGAAACTCGGAAAAACAAATGCTCACATTGATAAGATAGGAACCATTATGATGTCCAGTGAAGGCCAGTCAACAATCTCTTCATTAGCACGTTTGTTTATATATTATGGTGTGAGTGATGTGTTGTAGTCAAAACATTATGCGGAATAAAACTGAAGGAGCCGATCTAGGCGTGAAGTAGCAGCTTAGATAATTTTCGGTGTTTAATTAGAGGTAGTACTGTGTCCAATGTTCTGTGCTTAGAATGGCTCGGTGTGAAAAGAGTTTAACCCAATTTTGTACCCTGGGATGAGCCCAAAACCTAAAGAAATCCATCACAGTGTAAAGCAGGACACTGGGGCATCCTAGTTCGTCCAGGGAGAAACATTGGTCATGTCGGGAAATGAAACGCAAGAGATGTCTCGGGATATTGGCGGATACAACAGCCACGCTCGCTGAAAGACACCGGCTTAGTTGATGGCCATTGGCGTTGACCTCGAGAGGGGAGCTTCTGACCTCGATCACGAAGCTCATCAATCCTGGAGCAGGCCTTTGGGAAACAAACACGAGGACGGAGCGTCCGTCGCACGCCTCGACTGCTCTCGATCTGAAGTCGTGCAGACAGCCGTGCAGACCCACAGACACATGCCCAAACCATGCGGAGGCATGCCTGGTTGATTCACGGTTTCGCATCGGTAGTCGAACGAAGTACTGCGGCCAGCGCGGCATCTGTAACCTTTCACCATTGCAGCCGTGCTAAGATTATACTGCATGCTTCACTGCACCTGTTGGTATAAAGTATAAAACAACTGCGGCGTATTCGTCACTCCCTGCGCAAAAAAGCCTGAGGGGACGAAACGCAGTTAAACTATAGTCATGAATCAATGCTGTACTATCTATGATATAGTGCATACACTTCGTGTTGGTTACGACTCGCTGCCTATCGCTGCTGCCTTGTGCCTCATGCTCGTAATTGCTGTTGCTTTTTGCCCCATGCTTGTTATTCATAACGGCGGTGCTATAGATGTACCACGGCACCACGGCTGGATCTGCTGTTCCTTCTGTAAAATATGCCATCAGGCGGTTTTCAGGCAACTAAAACCATGCACCACACAGCTGACCCACGAAGGCTACATGTTTTAATGTATTATGAATACGTAAAGCATAACTGGTCACTATGATGCTCTGCCTGAACCTACTTTTTTGCATGCCTGCTTTTCCTTTCAGACATGCACCGTTCCACATTCCCCAGCAATACCCTTGCTGTAGGCCCTGTGCGCATATCGCAAGTCAAGCTTTTGCTGCTGCATGTGGGTGACTTCACCTCATGCCACTCTCTATCTACTGACGTTGTCCTTAACAGATAATTAGCTCCCGCAAAGTCTTGCCGAGCACGGCCGCCAACGTCGAGGCCGCCGATCTGACCTTAATTCGACCTTGGCCGGCAGTGTCGGCGCCGAAGGTCTTCTGCTACGTGTCGAGCTGGGCGCGCGACCGGCCTGGCCGCGGCCGGTTCTCGCCGGCAGACCTGGACCCTGCCCTCTGCACGCACGTGGTCTGGGCCTTCGGGTCGATCCGCCAGGGCAAGATCGAGCTGCCGTCGCCGGACCAGGACTCCAGGGACGAGGACAGCGACTACCAGCAGCTGCTGCGCCTGCGGGACGCCAACAACAAGCTCAAGGTGCCGGGCTGGCTTTCGGTGGCCGCGGCCGGTGTTCGGTGAACGCCACTTTGGCAGACCTGAACGGTCTTGCACCAGTGGTCTGATTTACAAACGGGCCATCGAGGCATCAGAATGCGATCTGGAGTTTAGAAAGGTTCACGAATACCCCAAAATAAGGGTTTTTATAGTGATGAAGTTGGCCCCATCGGCCGAAGGACCCCTTGGCCGAAAGAACCCCTTGGCCCTAAGGGCCCCCCGTGCCCAGACTTTGACACGTCCTGGGCGCAGCCTCGACTACCCCCTGCCTTACACAGTGCGGTCAATAGCGTTGTATACCAGGAGACGGGCGAGATGGTTGAGATAATTTGGGCAAATTTGAGGCGAAAAAATGGAATGCTGTCATGTCCATTGCTTTTGAAGCGTGTTGGCTTCATTGCCGTGTTCTCCCGGGAGACAGCGGAATTATGGGGAGGGATGTTCAGAGCATCTCATCCACAACAGCTGTTAAAAATTCACAAAAGGTCCAGCGACATGGTCCAAATATCATGGATGTATGGTGCGCTTTTGATGGGCCCAACTCGGGTTTAATAATGTTACTTGCGATGCAGAGTAGGGTATGACGTTTTCATTGAATACGAGCGTAGGACTATGACTTCAGTGTCACGGGCTCCCCCTATGTCGACCTCCACGAGGACCAAGTGCGTTTAGGTGCCTGCTCTTTCCCAAACCATGACTTCTCTGCCCGCTCACACCCTCCGTCGAGCAGGCACGTCACGATCTTCTCCCCCGTCCCCGGCCATTGTCCCAGCACACGTCTCTACGGGCTGGACCACGGCTCAGGGCCGGCTCGGACGGCACTGAGCGGAGGTGGCCAGTGCACTGAAACCGTATGCCGAGGAGCCGACCCGATGGTGACGCAGAAGCCTCCCTGCCTCAGATTTTGTTGGCGTTGGGCGGATGGTCTGCCGGACCTGAGCCCTTCCAGGAGCTCACTTCCAGCGACTACAAGATGAACAACTTCGTGTACGATACCGTCGACTTCATTCGCAAGAAGAAGCTGGACGGCATTGACGTGGACTGGGAGTACCCCAGGTGAGTCAGCGTTCTGCGCTCCGGAGCTCCAGCTCCTGCCGACTTTAGTCCATGTGCTTTGCTCCGATAAACGCAGCTGTCTCCGGTCAACTTCACGGGCCGCCACGAGATGAAATCTGAAGATTTATTAGTTCAAATAAGGTCATCACACTAGACCTTCAGTCATGGTGCCGGAAACGGGAGCTTCGTTTCTGTCAAAGAGAGTTGTATCTTAGATAACTATCGCACTGCAGCCATTATTCCCGTCTGCCTTTGTCAGCGTGGATGCTGGATAACGTAAAACCGTTTATCTTAACCTTAAGCCCGGCCACCAATCGGAAGTGATTCTTTTCTCCAGCTCTCTACCTCCTAGCTCTCTACTCTAGCTCTCTACCTCCTAGCCCTCTACCCTAGCTCTCTACTTCCTAGCCATCTACTCTAGCTCTCTACCTCCTAGCCCTCTACTCCAGCTCTCTACCTCCTAGCCCTCTACTCTAACACTCTACCTCCTAGCCCTCTATTCTAACTCTCTACCTCCTAGTCCTCTACTCTAGTTCTCTACTTCCTAGCCCTATACTCTAACTCTCTACCTCCTAGCCCCCTACTCCAGCTCTCTTCCTCCTAGCTCTCTACTCTAGCTCTCTACCTCCTAGCTCTCTGCTCTAGTTCTCTATCTCCTAGTTCTCTACCTTCTAAAGCCTTGTCCAGCTGCCAAGTCATCAAAGTGCGTCAAGAAATAAAAAGAAAAGAGCATCATCAGCCAGGCCTAGCCAGCCATTCGAAAGAAGCTTCATCGCACAGCCGCCAAGCGGCCGCACGTGGCGCTGCCTGCCTGCCTGAGTGAACCTGCCCTCCGCATCCGGCCTGAGACAGGACCTCACCAGTCATCCTGTTACAGCGGCTCCAAGGACCGCTCGGCCTACAGCAAGCTGATTCGCGAGTTCAAGCTGGCTTTCGAGGGCGAGGCGGCCTCGAGCAAGAAATCGCGTCTGCTGCTGACAGCCGCTCTGCCGGCCAGTGCCGAAGCTATCTATTCCGGGTACGTTGGCGCAGAGGGTACCGAGGGGTGGCAAGCGAGGGTCCATGAGTACCCTGGCTGCAGAATAGGGGCATGCCCAGGGACGTCTACAGGTGGTGTGGTGTGAGTAGGTGCTATATATCCCGAGGAGGTCAGTGCATAGATGTACTGAGAGCTCCAAAATTGAAGGGTGTGGTAGCGTTTCCAGGGCTTCCGGGCTGATGTCATAACGGTACAAACAACGAATCGCACCAAGTTATTTCCCCGAACAAGGCGGCCTCGGCGGTTTCAATCCCGTCAGTATGTGTTTACCCGAATTATCGGTTTCAGAATGAGGTGTCTCGCGGCTGAATCCAAGTCAATTCAGCCAGCTCGATGAAAGCTCGATTTGTGAGGAATACACCGTATCCCTCAATCTCTCAAATGTTCTTGGCACGATTACATATGATTTTGTGTCAATTTACCTTTCACGGATTCATTTCTTCATGCTTACCTATGCGTGCTTGTTAACGTCGCGTATACCAGACTAGAAGATGCGTGCACTAGAAACCCCTACGCAGCATGTTTATTGTATTTCTGTTTTTCTAAGTTACGACGTTCCGGAGATCGCCAAGCACCTCGACTTCATGAACATCATGACGTACGACTTCCACGGCAACTGGGACAGCGTGGTGGGACATAACGCTCCGCTCTACCCACTGGAGACAGCCTCTAGAGACGAGTCCAAAATGAGTGTGGTGAGTGTTCGATCGACAACGTGGGAATCACGTATTCCTCGCGCATGTTAAGGCTGGTCGTGATTGTTCACTTCGCGCGTGTGGCTACCCGGACATCGTGCTCCCGGACATCGTGCTCCCGGACATCGTGCTCTGTCCTCGGAGTGCCCTTATCGTTCTTCTCTTCTCGGACATTCGAGCTGAAACCGAAGCGAGACATTGGCATGCGTTGGCTGGCTGACATGGCCACCGATTTGGTGCACCACGTTTCCCATTGCGCTAACAGCACTTGCCTTCAGAATTCCTCACCAATAATGTATGCAGACGTAATAACATGACACGTTCACTACCAAAGCTCGTAAATTATTTCTGGTGATCTAAGATGGGAGCGTTGTTTTCGGAAGAAACTCAAGAGATGTTGCATTGACTTTGCCCATGATAGAACATCCAGTGATCGTGAACCTAGCAGCAGAGGTTCTCGGAATGACGACCTGCCCGAAATGGAATTTTCATATCGGAACGTCAAATGACTATTGATCATCGTCTGATCATAATCTATCAGTAGTGCACAGTTGTAAAATAAATGCCTCAGATAAATTTCAAATATTCCAACCCTATCTTCACCGATAGACGCAAGCTTTCGTCATGTAGATAGACCACGAAGGACACAAACACACCATGCCGCAAAATATGTTCCCTTGAACCCAAATTTGTCTTATGACTGTTAACTTCGCCGAGGGTTTGCATCTGATTGATGCATACTATTCGCTGAAAATCTCAACATCAAAATTTGGCTTCCTCAAAGTGGCATGAGATTCGACGATACTCTGACAGGTGCTGGCGAAATGCTTACCACCTGCGTTCGTAAACTCAGCAGCGCCAACTGCTTCACATGCTCCACAGAACCCATTCGCCCATTCACCCCCCCCCCCCCCCCCTCCCTTGACGTGGCCTCGGCTAACCTCGCCTGACGTCACCAGGACTACGCGGCGCGGGAGTGGGTGAAGGAGGGCGCGATGCCGGAGAAGATGCTGATCGGCATGCCGACGTACGGTCGCACGTACACGCTCAACAACAGCGTCGAGTACGACATCGGCGCCCCTGTCATGGATGGCGGCAAGCCGGCCCGGTTCACGCGCGAGACCGGCTTTGCCAGCTACTATGAGGTGCGTGGGGAGAAGATCGGGCGGTTTTAAGTCGCGGTCACACGAGAGGAAGGCCTCGCCAGCTACTATGAGGTGCGTGGGGAGAAGATCGGGCGGTTTTAAGTCACGGTCACACGAGAGGAAGGCCTCGCCAGCTACCATGAGGTGCGTGGGGAGAAGATCGGGCGGTTTTAAGTCACGGTCACACGAGAGGAAGGCCTCGCCAGCTACCGTGAGGTCCGTGGGGAGAAGATCGGGCGGTTTTAAGTCACGGTCACATGAGAGGAAGCCCTCGCCACCTACTACGAGGTGCGTGGGGAGAAGATAGGGTGGTTCTAAGTAACGGTGACACGAGAGGAAGCCTCCGCCAACTACTATGAATTGCGGCTAGAGACGTCCTTGGGTCCGCAGCAGTGTTTTGGGCAATGATCGCATGCGAGATGACTGCTAGCTGCTGTGAAGTGCGTGCTAGAAATGTCCCTTGGCAGAGATTCTGCGGAGTTGGTCTGTTACTGAGAAGTCCTCCAACTAAATCACATCAGCTTTCGCACCTAATTGTGTTCAGGCAGAGCCATTGGTTACGTCTCTAGTGATCATCGATATTATAGCCGATCGCAGGATATTGACCTGAGTTTTGGAGAATATTAAGGTGCTTTTAACACGCCCCCGGGTGGCTGCCTTAATATCTTTCGTTAGAGTGGGGATCAATGTGACCTCCTGAGGTCTGAAAACGTGATAGCTAGGAACATGTAATTCACGCAGTAGACTGATCTGCATCTAAATTCCTGTACCTGTAGTTATGACATTGGGGGGTCAAATAAGGTATGTTCATAAAAATATAATGTTGGCGTGGGTAATTTTAGATAGATGATTTAATCTGGCCTTTGAAAAGTCCATGAAAAATGTTTGTTGCGGTCCCTTTCATTAATTAATTCGGAATAAACACCAGAAACTACCCCATAAAACTGAGCTCTCGAGTAAAAAGGCAGGTTAGTTTTGGGCTGGTTCTGATCTTCATATCTGACCCTAGGTCACTTGGATTGGTTGTAGCTCTAAATTTAATTGGTTAATTGCCTAAGAAGTTATATCAGATATGCATGACTTCGCCTAGCACTCCCTTGTTGCATCACATTGAACGTTTCCCTATAAATGCCCTTCGCTGAAAGCCATAGCCTGACTTTGACCTGTCATTGGTCAGCGATCTTACAAGGGACTTCTCATTTTTACCTAAAAAACGCCATTTAGCTATCTATAGATATGCAAAATTTAGCGTGGCTCCGCCACGCTGTTCGGAAATCGTTTTGAAAAAAACCCTCGGGAATGTCAATTGTTCTGGAAAAACCTTTGGGGAGGGTCAATTTACCCACCCACCCACCCCCCAAGACCCGAGCGTATGTTAAGGTTGCGGGAACCAAAATTGGAAAGCAAAGTTACATGTTATTGGGAAAGGTAAAACGACAGTCAGTCTGTACTTATTGATTATGTAGCGGACTGAGCATGACAACAATGTCATTGTTTTGTCATTGTCGTAGAATGCTTGTGCATGCTAGCGCAAGATGTGACCTAACATTGATTGTGCTGACTCAACTGGTCTGACTCGATTGGTCTGACTCGATTGATCTGTCTTGATTAGACCGACTTGATTGGTCTCACTCGATGAGACTGACTCGATTGGTTTTGTTCAATAAGCCTTGACTGGTATGGTGATGGACTCACTTAAATCATATTTGTAACGATCTGGCCCGACTAACGTGCTGAGCACCGGACCACACCAGACTGACACAATAACGACCTAGCCTGACCTGAGCTGGCCTCACCTGATCGGATCGGAGCTAACCCGACCCGTCCGTCCGCCAGGTGTGCGACTTCCTCGAGCGCGAGAACACCACCCTCATCTGGGACAACGAACAGATCGTGCCGTTCGCCATCAACGGCGACCAGTGGGTCGGGTTCGACGACGAGCGCTCCCTCACGGCCAAGGTCGGTGGGCCGACGGTGGCCGCCCGCGCTCACGGTCACAGTCTGGGGTCACGGTCAAGCGTGGCAGGGATAACCGGCCAGCGACTGCAGTCGACAAAGTTTTTATTTTGATTGCCTTTTATTAATCTTCCTTTTTATTTTGGACGTATGAGAACAGTTAGTTGAGTAGTGCCAATTTAACCAAGAGCTGGTCATGTGCCTGCTACGCCACACCTTGCGACTCCGTGACTGATTGAGCCCCTCTGACCCGGTGACCCGGTGACCCCAGGTCGAGTGGCTGCGTGACCTGGGCTTCGGGGGCGTGATGGTGTGGGCTGCCGATCTGGACGACTTCCGCGGCGCCTGCGGCAACGGACCGTATCCGCTTGTCAACGCCATGCAGGACGCACTGCAGGGCTACCGCGTCGAGTACACGTACGACGGTGGCGCCGCCTTCAAGCCAGGCAAAAAGGCCGACCGTGAGTTATCAGACCGATCGGCAGAGCGTACGGCACAGCGTAAGCAGAGACGGGGATTTTTTGCGCCCCAGCGCAGGAACGGTACGAGGTAGAATAGTGAGAGCCACTGCGAGTGCTTCAGTATGTTAGCTTTATAGCAGTTGGGACATCCACATTAGGATGGTGCAGTTTGTTTCAGCAAATTTTAGTGGTGACAAAATATGAATATTTCGGTATTGGCTCACCCGAAAGGATCGGTGGGCATTGTCAGTTTAAAAAACGTCGTTTGACCAGTGAAGCTCTCAGGTTTCATGCGACAGTTGGTATTGGCTCACCCGAAAGGGTCGGTGGGCATTGCCAGTTGAAAAAGCGTCGTTTGACCAGTGAAGCTCTCAGGTTTCATGCAACAGTTCCCAACGCTCTGGATCGTTGCGCTGACGTTTCGCAGCCTGCAATCTTCTTGTGTTGTTCACGTCTTGTCTGGAGGTTAGCCTCGCGCTGATTGGTCACGTCTGTGCCGCCCGGTGAGGCAAGCTGTATTTCCAAACCTGCTATGCAAGGCATGAGCGTGATAACATTATCCTGCCATGATGTCACATGTCGTTCATTTTGCAACCACTCATGCTTTCAGACAGAAGGTCCCATCATAATGCATGACTGCCGTCACTCCATGCAAATGTCCCGGTCGCCTCTTACGCAATCCCCGCCCGCAGCCAACGAAGTCGTGTGTGACAATGCGGACGGCGAGGTGACCTTCCACCGGGACGCGCTCGACTGCAAGCACTACTACCTGTGCCAGGGCTCGGTGCGCCACCACATGCCCTGCCCCAGCGACCTGGTCTTCAACGAGGAGCAGTCGGTGTGCGACTGGGCGGAGAACGTCGAGGCCTGCTGGGCCTTCACGGTTCCGCCGCCGGCAGTGTAGCCGCCGCTGCTGCCACCTGTGGAGCGACGCGAACACTGGTGGTTGCAGCGCTGGTCGTGCGAAGCGCTGCTGGTGACGCGCTGTCACGAGGCGGAGACCGTGGAGAGATTCGGGTCCCCGACGAAGGACGGAGGCATTCCGGGGGCGCAGGCTGCCTGTGGTTTTTGCCAGTGATATCTGCCGCGAGAAATGCCAAAAGTGAAAAGAAGCGTGCCTGTTCTTGATCCTGTTCAAATATATCGTACGTAGATGGCAGGACAATGGCATGCCAGGCGCGTTCTCCGAGTTGTGGACGTTCGATTGTCAAACATTTCACATTGTCTCTTTATGCAAAGCACATAAAATATGTATCAACCGAATAAGTCGACTTGCCAGCCTGGTTTTCCATGCATGCTGCAAATACTTGGTTCCTGCACCTGGTTTCCATGGAACATCTCATGCATTTTCTAGAGCCTCTTTCGGTATCGGACCATTCTGAGCGTAGAAACACCCACCAGATCGTGTGAAGTTAGTGTTGTCTCAAACAGCATAGGCATATGCGGTAGGGATGATGACTGACTAGAGTTAAGAGCCATATTGGGATACGTCACTGCTTCCTCGCAAGCCCGGTGATAGATCCCCTCTTCCCTTCTCTCCCACCCCCCCCCCCCCTGCCCACTATATAAGTGCTAATCCCACGAAGCAAACGCACAGACCTTTAGAGGGAAAGTATTAGTGTTTGAGTGTGTGATTCGTAAGCGATTGGGGGCTGGTTCCATACATTAATTCGAAACGTGAGACATTAGAAAAGCATGCGATTGACATCATTCGCTTCCCCGCATTGTTTTTCCCGTTAAGCTCATGCGCCCGCTGAATTAAACCCGAGGCGTAGCTCGTTGTACATAGAGCCGACCAATGCGAACCCAGAGCGCGTCTATTTATGCACACGAGCGACAGAGGCGGGCCGATGGAGAACGCCTGGTCACAGTGGCGCTCTAGTGATGTGTGTCTCTGTCCGTGTGTGAGTGTAAGTGTTCTTGTCGGAGGGCGCGAGTCGGTCGATACGCCAGGTCAATACAGTGCGATCAGGTACTCAGATGTCTTAGCGAACGATGGCCGATCAGCGCCTCGGATGGAGAGAGCAGAAGAGAGATGAAGACGGTGTCTCGCGTGGGGAGAGGCGGAGGAACAGTGACGATAGCGTCTGGGTTGGGGAGAGGCAGGGGAGTGATGAAGGCGGTGTCTGGGTTGGGGAGAGGCAGGGGAGTGGTGAGGGCCGGTGTCCGGGGTGACAGAGGCAGAGACTGAGTGAAGATGGTGTCTCGCGTGGGGAGAGGCAGAGGGGCGGTGAAGACGATGTCTGGGGCGTGCGGGGGCAGAGGAGCAGTGACGGCGGTGTCCGGGGTGGCAGAGGCAGAGGAGTGGTGACGGCGGTGTCCGGGGTGGCAGAGGCAGAGACTGAGTGAAGATGGTGTCTCGCGTGGGGAGAGGCAGAGGGGCGGCGAAGACGATGTCTGGGGCGTGCGGAGGCAGAGGAGCAGTGACGGCGGTGTCCGGGGTGGCAGAGGCAGAGGAGTGGTGACGGCGGTGTCCGGGGTGGCAGAGGCAGAGGAGCAGTGACGGCGGCGTGTCCGGGGTGGCAGAGGCAGAGGAGCAGTGACGGCGGTGTCCGGGGTGGCAGAGGCAGAGGAGTGGTGACGGCGGTGTCCGGGGTGGCAGAGGCAGAGGAGTGGTGACGGTGGTGTCCGGGGTGGCAGAGGCAGAGGAGTGGTGACGGCGGTGTCCGGGGTGGGGAGAGGCAAGGGAGCAGTGGCGACGGAGTCCGGGGTGGCAGAGGCAGGGGAGCGGCGGAGACGGAGTCTGGGGTGGCGGAGGCAGGGGAGCGGCGGAGACGGAGTCTGGGGTGGCAGAGGCAGGGGAGCGGCGGAGACGGAGTCTGGGGTGGCGGAGGCAGGGGAGCGGCGGAGACGGTGCACAGTGTCAGCTTAACATTCACTGATGAGTTAAGGTGATTTATTTCAAAGAATTGCATGTACATGATTGGCGTATGTGGTTTTAGGACAAAAGCCAGCGCCGGGAGCATTGTTGCATGCACCTGAATCCATTCAGCTGCTTAATTCCAACGGATTAAGCAACCTTCCTCCACCCGGCTTAGGCGAACAGAACCACACATCAGTATTGCATCACTTAGCTCTCCCAGCCGCCCATGTCGCATCACGCTGATCGCGAATTACATAAGCAGCTAGGTGCCAACGCAGAGCTCGGTTCGAGCCGCGAATCTCGCCCCCGGGTTAGCCCTTCATGCCAGGCGATCGCTCCGATCGAAGAGCGGGAGTCCAAATGCCACGGAGTGATCGCTCCGATGGAAGCGCGGGAGTCCACACGGAGCGATCGCTCCGGGAGCGATCGCTCCGACCGAAGCGCGGGAGTCCAAACGCCACGGAACGATCGCTCTGACCGAAGCGCGAGAGTCCAAACGCCACGGACATTGGCAGGTCACGGCACCGTACTGACAAACGCAAAATGGCTTAAGTCAGAGGGAGCGCCGATGCTTGTGCACTTCTCGGAAGAAAACGAAGGGACTTGCCTGACAATCATTCCGACACTTGGTTTGTCTCATGGTCCACGCCCCTGGATACCACAGCTCTCCGCCCAAGAAGAATGTTTGTGTGCGGTGTGGGTTTATGGGCTGCAAGTCCTGCTCCACGTCCATGAACATCAAAAGGCTATCAAAAAGAAGGTAACTACAACACTTACCGCATCGTCAAACACAGGACGATAGCTCTAGTCTTGTTCCTGGCGATATTGCTTTGTCAGGCTTGGCTGAGGGGCGAAAGCTGACTAACAGAAATATCTAGCATGAACTTCGAAGTTTTGCCATATTCGATGGCCCAGTTGGTTAGAGCGCCTGCCTTCCCATCCACCCGCCCGTGGCAGGGTAGCTTGGAGTCGCTTCAGGCGGCCACTTTTGGTCTTGACAGGAATGATCTGCGGTCAGTAGCTACGGCCGCGCCAAAGACCAGGTGATGCCACAGAGCAGGACGAACCGTGTCGAGCAATGCGGCGCGTTAAAGTTTTGCCATCAAATTCTGCCACTGACCTGGAATTACCGGATCACATGGTAGCGGTCAAGACTCACACAACGAGCACTTCTTAGCAAAAGCTCCGTTCTCAGAAATCCATCCATTCGATAGGTTCGGATAAAATCCTTCTGAAATATTACTTACAAACCCTCATCAGTGCATACTGAAGTCTCGGTTTCAATCAATGTGTTTTCTTGCCACTTGTATGACGTTATGAAAGGAGACATATATGCAAATGCAAGACCGTGTGTGTACGCGTGAGCGTGTATATTCTCTTATTTTCATTGCAAGCTTATGAATACATGAAGAGCACATGAACCGCCAAAATATTTTTAACATGCGAAGACAAATTTGCAGGTACATATATGAAATGCATTGCATTTTGCAAACAATGGTGAACAATAACACCGACAGCATTTCACGTCACCACATGGTATACACTCCTTCAATGGGGGAACAAAGGTTAACGTCATGTTAAGGCGATTACATCCAGCCAGGCTGTCGTATGAAATGTGCTAAGCCCTAACTAATCCGCGCTCTGATAACAGCGATTGAAATTGCTTGACTGCGATTGACCTGCTGATCTCATGAAGATTGCAAGAGAAATTTGGTGCAAAGCCTCGATCAATGTTTGTTAGCATAAGCTAAGTGAAAAAAGTCAACACCGTAATAGAGCTTGCTTCAGTCTGAGGCTTCCATAAAATCGGGAACACGTCCATGGTGCACCTCATCTTCGGAGACGAATGTGACTGTCATAATAGAATACACCTCGACAAAACAGTAGCTTAATACTTTTTCTTGTCATTCAGAACAAACTGTTACATTTTGTTCCATTAACACCCGCACTAGGTAAAAAATATCAAAATGATCAGTCATTCGCGATCCTTCTCCAAAAACGCCTCGGGTGCAGAGTTGGAAGTTTTCAGGTGCTTTAAGTGCCGACCGGATATTTTCGATGCGTCTAGTATAGACCACAAATGTGAGCTGTCTTGACTTATTTATGTAGCGGATCTGGTGGTAGCCTGACCAGCAAATCATTTCAATTTTCAACATCGAAGCGACACTCTACAAAACTAGTGTCTGCAACGCGCCTTGCTACAGCTGATGAAAGCAATACCCCGCATGCTTAAAACCCGGATGCTCGACCGTCGGGAATGCCTGGCCATCGGCAAAGGCTCTAATAGCCAGTCATCGCTCAGATCTGCGGCAGGGATAGCGTGTCCCGCCGCATGATCCGAGCTGTCGTTTGCCGTGCGAGGCTCCGAGCTGTCGTTTGCCGTGCGAGGCTCCGAGCTGTCGTTTGCCGTGTGAGGCTTCAAGCTGTCGTTTGCCGTGCGAGGCTTCGAGCTGTCGTTTGCGAGGTGGCAAACGGCAGCTCAGTGCGAGGCTCTGAGCTGCCGTTTGCCGTGCGTGGCTCTGAGCTGCCGTTTGCCGTGCGAGGCTCTGAGCTGGCCGCCTTTTACAGTGCGAGACCTCTGAGTTGCCCTTCGTTTGCCGTGTGAGGCTCTGAGCTGCCGTCGTTTGCCGTGCGGGGCTCTGACCCGTCGTCTTTTGCCATGCGAGGCTCTGAGCTGCCGTCTTTTGCCGTGCGAGGCTCTGAGCTGCCGTTTGCCGTGCGAGGCTCTGAGCTGCCGTCGTTTGCCGTGCGAGGCTCTGAGCCGCGTCGCTTGCCGTGCGAGTAGATGGATATGGTTGGGTCGGCCGTCAAGTTTGCGCAGCGTTTCGCAGCGCACCAAACATTCCGACGCCCTGCTTCTCATACCCGGGGGCAACCCACATCGTACTTTGAAGTTCCTCAGGGGAGGACTGGGTTTCATCACAATTCTTTCTTGTTTTTATTATTCCAGGCCTTCATCTACACTGAAGCCTAATCTCATGCATACTTTAGAGCAGACCCAAGGGAGACCAAAGGACATTAAACCAGCAGTTTGATTAAGACCCGCGATACTTTGGACTTGGCAAACAACAAAATTGGGGTTTGTGGAAATGCAGATCCTTTATTAACCACGTCAGATTCCATCCCAAAGGTACCATAGCAAACATAAGCCGTATCAGTTGCAAGTGTAAGCCGAATGCGTGCCACTTTGCAAACGTGCGAGACGTTGTCATCGCATTCAAGGGTTACGTCCTTAGAAGAGGCCTGCAATGAAAGAGGAAACGTTAAACACGGAAAAAGGAAACGCTGGAGTCCTTTGCCCAGTCAACACAGACACCAGGCGCAGACGCGGAGTGCCGGGAGGAGTGAGTAAAACGGCCTTGCTGAGCGCTTCCAGTCATGCATTTGTCCGGTACAGCAGCCATGGCGGAGGAAGCGGGTGCGGTCGGGGATGCTCCACATGCACAGCTCGCACACGGGACCCTGTTGTTAATTCGACACCTGAGACAGGTGCGAGGGCGTGCATCCGTCCGTAAGTGTGCTGGCTGGATCAGGCGGACGCAGCAAACACGCCTGTCAGACTCCCTATGATCATGCACAGGACGCCATCGGAATCTGCCCACATCGTCGGACAATGCGACTTCATTGCAACAACACGTTCCATGTCATACAATGCCTTTCATTGATCGTCGCAGACCACACTCGACCACAACGGGAGACGTGGGGGTAACACCAAAACGCTCCCAAAAATAGCATGACTAGCCCCAGCCTGTCATGAGCTGTTGAGTATGCTGCTGAGCCATGGTGGCGTCAAGGCCACGGCGCCTGGTCTCTTCGGAAATACACCGTCGCGTCTCACTGGAACACTCAACATCATATCATTGGAACACTCCACATCATCTCACTTGAACACTCCACATCATCCCACTTGAACATTCCACGTTATTTCACTGGGACACCCCACATCACCTCACTGGAACACTCCACATTATTTCCCTGGAAGACTCCACATTATCTCACTGGAAGACTCCACATCATCTCACTGGAGCACGCCACATCATCTCATCTCTCATCTCTCATCTCATCTCTCTCTCTCTCATCATCTCATCTCAAGACTCCACCTCATCTCACTGAGAC